TACTAGTGAGGTATCTCTAATTTTGTGGACATTGAGTGTATGTTCATTACAGCATCCGTTATAATGTGATTTACCTTTTTTATTAACTGACCTCATTCATGAATGTTTGTAAATGGATGCGCCACTGCCATGTCATCACGCTGATGAGGGTCTGTGAAGCCTCCCTCCTCCTTTCCCTTCAGTTGGACTACAGGTCTTATTCTTATTCTGTATCACCATCCTTGCCGATGAACGCAGGTTTCCTCGGGACTATCACGGTGATGAGTTGATGAAGAAATTAATTGTCAGCTATATGAAATCTTAAGGGAAACAGCACGCTAGAGAATGTAGCGAAAGGAGGAAAATAACCTTTCTTCTAAATCCACGCCAAGGACGATGGAACCATAGTATGCGTTTGTACACCGTGAATAGGCCTTGATGGCAAAAGGAATTGCTCGTAAAGTAAAAACTTATGACAGTCTCATGAGTTTCCAACTTCATCGACATCGACAAGACACTTGGAATAGCTAAGATCTATGGTCAACGAAATAGGGATTTGACTCGCTGCTACTGTCTCCATGAGCCTTTTTCGTTTCAGCATAACTGCTACTGTTTTTCTTGAATCACTTTATACAGCCTTGATTTCAGTGCAATCTTCATTTCCCAAGCCAGTCATTACTTTAATTCAAGGATCGGAACTGGCTACTCCTAATACGACGAAAAACAGAAAAATTCCAGATCCGGCACGATGGATGGAAAAAGAAGACAACTTGACTGACAACCCTATTTCCCTTCTTATTTTTTTAATCCTTGCCCCCACCCCCCGCACACATTTTCCATGCTGCGAGGTGGCCCACTTCATGCGCCGGATGTCACGGAATGGAGGAAGTGGTGATCCTTGTAGTGCATCAATTGCGATTTTGCCGGAGGAAGATGGTGGTTGTATATCGCGGAAGATTATAGACAGAAAGGGAGTACAGTCAAAGGAAATATTGGAAGAGATTTGTCATTGATCGAGAGAGTGTGGGAAGGTTAACGCATGCGCTAGGGCAAGTCTCCAAGTAACTGTAGGCTTTACCCTTCCTCTCAGTCCCAGTCCAACTTATTCCCCGTGTATGGCCTATTTCTCCTCGGTCGGTCCATCTAGCTGGGAATTGTGCTTAACTATATTGTTCTCGTGCGGTGTTATTTACGATTATCTCCCGCTTTCTCGCTCCTCCCGCTTCCATTCGGAGGATTTACGTCGAAGTACCGCCCAAGTTCATGTCCTTGTCGCTGGCTTGTGCGGGTGCCACGTCGGTGCAGTCTCCTCATTGAACGCTCATTCCCTTCTCTTTTCCAGTTCAGGCCAAAGAGAGAAAGCTTAAAGGTGATGATCGTGATCATGATGGCGGATCATACCTGCCTTAGCCATCTCTGAGTTTTCCCATATTTTCTCACTCGTGAACTTCTGGTGTGACTTATAAGAGGTTCTAGTCATGGATATAAAACTGTTGCACAAAAGTAATACGTTGAGTTCTCTGGCGAATGGGGGTCAGAAGTTGGGTTCATGGTTCTCTCATGCCTTGGGTGCTGGTGATCGAAGACGAAAACAAAGTGTACCTCCCATGAAAGTCTCCAAAAGCATCACCCTCGGTGAGTACTGCTCGCTCTCGCTCTCATTCTTTTATACAGCCTTATCTCTTCTTTATCCTCGTATCTGTACTGTGTAGTCCTTGTTGGTACCGTTCTCACGACCCTCATGTTTTGACCTTTGATCTCATGTTGAGTATGTCGACCTCTAACTTCTCCCCTTCATTGTTTTGCTCGAGAATACAGGGGGCATGGAATCCTCCATTTCCTCGCGTTGCCACTCTCAGAGCATGAAAATCATACAGAGCAAGTCTGAAACTGCACTCTGCATGCAATACATGGGCATCGCATGGAAAGGGAGATGAGGATGCATGTTAACGATGCTCATCTCTGAGAGGGGCGTTAATGAGAAGGAAATGGTGCATGGGAAACATGGCTTCTCCGTCTCCCTCGCATCCATTTCTCTTCCCTCGCTCTCCATGGTGACGGGATGAATTCGAAACTCTTTTCCCCTCTCATGCTCATCAAACAGGAAAGAGTGATTATGAGTGAAGTGAAGAGACATTTTTCTTCGTGGACTTGGTCTTCTGTATCGCATGGGCTTAGTACGATGGGGACTGTATGCAGCTATGAGCCAGCATGCTTCGCATACCTGGAGAGTGCCCAAGTATTCAATAGGGTTGGCTGCCCCATGGCCATCCGTGACTCACGGCCATGCCGGTATTGGATGTGCAGTGAAAGAGTGGAAGCGTGGTAAGATAATGAGCGAGTGACTAGTCATCGTCCTTGAGGGTTCAGGGTAGTCTCTTCGCGAATCCGGAAGGTATGACGTCATGACTAAGCGGAATTATACCCGCCGGGCAGGGAGGGAAGGTGGCTCCTTTCTTCATTCCCTGCCCTCCCCTTCAGTCAAGATCCGCTTAACTCCTTCCTTCTCTTTTGATACACTTGATCTCACAATGCAAGGCTGATGAGATGAACGCGAAGGGAGGGGAGGATCGACGACAAAAGAGGTGAAGTGAAAATGAGGTGGCTTGGTCGGATCCAGATGGTGCCATTCCTTTCCACTTTTTTATCTTCGTTTCTCTCTCTTGTTAGTGTCTTTGGATTCTGTCCAATCTTCCATCCTCCAATCATCGACCTCCTGTGTCTGTCTATCTCCCCTCCCCCCCCTCCACCATCAGTTGTGACGAAATTGGCCGCATATTAGTCAGACATAACTCTCTGACCAAACAGGGATATGAGTAGAATGATACAAGGGAAATGCTACAGTAGGAGCTAGAGTATCAGTCCAGGTTCAAATATGCCATTCCACTGGCCACTAAATTGTATACATCTGGAATTATCTCCTTTCCCAACATCCTAACCGCTCAATAAATGATAAATAAATAAAAGTTGACATATCGTACGTCGTAGGCCTACGTGCATCGCCCCAGATAATTCCACGATGTCCTCGACGGTTCGCATGTCCACCTCCCGTGGAGATGAAAGGAAAGCATGAAGTACAGGATGCCAGATGCAGCGTTTCNCCCCCCCCCCCCCCCCCCCCCCCCCCCCTTCCCGCCTCTGGTAGACAGATGCCTAAAACAGCGAGGGTAAAATAACTGAATTGGAATTGGTTGAAGAAGGAAAGTCACCCACCCCTCTGGGTTCCATCAGGCGTTCAATTTCTTTATGCAAATCAATCCGTCAATAGTGTGAGGAGAGGAGGAGGGGAAGAGGAAGACATGGTTGCTTGGTCGATTGACCTCGAGGGGGATCTTTTTCTTTCTCTCAGCCTTTTTTTTTTTATCCTTTCAGATCACCGAGAGGGGTGGGTGGGAAACGAGGCACTAGGTGTAGCCTCGGACCTAAGTGATATATCCAATGGCTCTCGTCTTGAGTCAACATTCTCCCCTCCTGTTTTTCCTACCATCTTCCCTCTCACACACACGCACACACCGTCATTCGCACACGCTCTCCTCTCATGTTCCACATCTCTCAAGCTCCACCCGTCAGGCTCGGGCATCTCCAGGAAGAGCAGGGCCTATTGATTAAAAGGAGAATCGGAAAGAATTATTATTGCAGGAGTCTTCTCGGCATAGGATCTTTAGATACGCTCCGCTTCGTCCGTGTTCTCACAAATAGTTGAGCCTGATCGATGGCTCATCTCTCCCTCACTGGGTCAATAGAGAACTTTTAATTACCCCTTGCCGTGAGGACTAAGAAGGCCTCCGCCACGTCTGTGCCCCAGCTTTAAATGAAGGGAGGGAAGGGGGAAGTGAAAAGGAAGAGAAAGATGAGATTCAGTATGGAATGCATGTGACAGTTGCTATGATGGAAGATGAGAGTGGTAGTGCCATGGCGTGTCTTCTTTCCCTTCCTCCTTTCCAGATACTGGCATGTATTTCCACCTCCCCATCTTCCTCTCTCCTCTTTCTGTCTTTCGATATGGAATTTATAGACACGCAGAGGGATATATATAGAGAGATTTTTCTCCTTCCGAATGAAGGGATTTCTTTCTCAGAGACTTTTACTGTTCCCTTGATCCTTCCATTCCGTCCTTTTCTTTTCCCTTATCCTTATCTGTCTCATTCCTCTTTCCCACCCGCAGAGTCTGGAGGTAATTAATGTTTGGCGAACGAAGACCATGTATTTTCCTCTTCTTGAGAGACTTTTCAATATTAAGGTAAAGAAGGAAGTCGCCTGGATAAAATTCTGGTGTAGTGAGCTTTTCCAAACTCATTAAAAGGGAAACGTGCTATTAGAATGCTTCCCTGGGGATATTAGAAATAGGATAGGAGGTCCTCGAGGATAAGCCCCCTTTTCATAAGGAGGGGGAACCTTCCTTGTCCGTGCATACAATCCTGTATAGACCATGAGAATATTGGAAAGGATATTGCAAGATAGGATAAAAGAACGAATTTCTCTTTATACTCCGACGAGGGTTCCTTCCTTGGCCATAGCCGGAACCTAATTTCGTGTCCCCTCCCACGAGGTGCCAGTAGGGAAAGGAAGGGAAGCAAAAGTACGTACACATAGAGGTAACTTGACCCAGTCTAGGTGAACCCTCCTATCTCTTTCCCCTATGGGTTTCTCAGAGAACGCAATGTAATGGCGATCAATTAGCGAGGTAAGAGAGCCTGGAGGGATTCCCCAATACCAACTATCCAATCTCCATTCAATCAGCCGATTCCCCATCCCCCTGAGATCCTCCTCTCCTTCCATCTTCTCCTCTCTTTCCTGTCTTTCTCTTCTTCCAGAGACGTTCTACATTCATTTATGTTTCATGACGCACTGCCTTGGGTGGACAGAAAGAAGGAAAAGGGGCAGAGATTGAACTCGTAAATCTACAGGGTGTCCATTCGGGGAAGAAGGGAAAATGGTGCCCATTTCCGGATCCATTTCCGATTGAAAGACGCAGGGAGGCAAGAAAATGGATTATCGATGAGGAATGGAAGGGGATTGATACTTGTGAGTCTGGAAACACGGAAATTACGCCGCCACAACCGGATTCCATGTGATAACCCTCCATATGGGTTATGGCGTTATGAGATAGGAAAGAGTGATTGGTTTGTTTCTTGCCCCCTCTTGTGTCACGCGACATCGTTACATTCGCTTCCCTTTTCCAGGAGATGACGATAGTGATGATGATCACAGTGATCATGACCGTATCATCAAATGGTTATAGATAGATAGATTCTGGATATATAGCGAAAGAGGACCCCCCCCCTGGCACCAGCTGCGAGGGAGCAACACTCTTTTCTTTCCTCCCCCCCCCCCCTTATTATTGATGGGAAATGGAAGGAAGCAAGCCCCCGCCCCTTCATCCAGGCTCCTTATTAGGAGTTCTTTGTGTTCTCATAGGGCTACAGCCTAGTTGCAGGCCCGACCCGCATGGTATCCATGCTCAACTGGGACCTCAACACAGTCGCCTTGAGCACTTTGTCTTCCGTATTCCTTCCTTCCTTCTCCAATCCATTCTCTCCATTGCACAACGCAACGGGAAAGGGGGAAAAAATGAAGATAGAATCCGTTCGTTGCGATAGGAGGCGTCATCAATCATCCGTTCCCATTTTCACGACAGTGTCTTTTTTTTATGTCTTTCCTTCATTCCGTCTTTCTCTTGTCCTTTCTCCTTTATTTTCCACGCTTTTCCCTTTGAAGCCAGATGGAAAAAGGGAAGAGGTTCTTCTCAATGTGTCCATCCGGGAACGAACCATAGATGGCAAATGAACGGAAAGGGGGAGGGGGGGAGGGGGGGGGGGGGAAGAAAAGAAGCTCCGTCCCACTGACTTTTTTTCATCTCCCATGCTCCCCAACCCTGTCATGATTGAATCAGGGATGTGATGAAATGGAATCTTCCCCCATCCCTTCCCCTTTGTTCATTGTTGACCCCTTTCATCTCCCTCGTCCATTGCGTGCGACAAGACAAGAGACATAGATGCCCTAATCCAATTGCAGCCTCTTTTCCTTTTCTGTGATGACGATTCTGATGGTGTTGGTGATCTGATCTTGGCAGGTGTGGTGCAAGAGCATCCGAGGATCGGATCGGATGGAGAATCGGAGGAGGCATCGGGAGCAAGCGACGAAATTGTCTCTCCAGTCAACGTGAAACTCCGACCAAAGACCCGGCGACACAATTCTGAAGTGAGTCCCTTTATCCCCCCCTCCCCTGCTGTGTCTGTAGTCCATTGAAACTCAGTTCACATATCCCCCTAGAGAGTGAGGGGATCCTCCTTGCGTCATTTGATATGGAAATGAAGCCTTCCTCTCCCTCTTCCTATAAGAGATGAATGAATCGATCTTGATTGTGATTGTGTCTCTTATCTTTCGTGCGATTACAGTTGGACATCAACAAGAGGCTGAGTCTGCCTGCAGATCTCCGAATTCCCGAATCGTTCCGCCTGAATCCTTCCTTCCTCGATGGACCTATATCTCGTGCCACTCGTCGCCAGTCCCTGTCCGAGATCGGGTTCGGCAAAATGGAGACCTATACCAAGCTCGACAAACTCGGAGAGGTGAGAAACAGATCGAAAGGGAGAGGGAGAAATGTTTGAATAGGGGATTGGAGTCCCTGGCCGGGGCAGAGAAAGTTGTGGGAATCCAATTGTCTCCTCCACTTGAGAGATCCTACCCCTCCATCCTCTTTTCACTCTAATTCGATTTCTTCGCCTTTTGCCTCTCGTGCTACAAAAGGGGAAAAGCTGGAACTCTTAAGAAAGAACGTATCAGTCGCCAGTTCCTGCTTGGAGTAGAACTCCTGCACCAGAGAGATAAGGGAATGGGACTTGGAGATTCATCAATCCGTGTTCCATGTCAATTAATTCCACATCCCATTAATCCCTTGAGTCAGCTCATTCTCTTTTGTCATCCTTTCCTTCCTTGTCTGTCACTGAAGAAGAAATTGCATTCCCAGAAAGAGGGAGATGCCCTACTACAGTGTCTTTCTCCTTGCCATCTCCCTTGTTGATGCTGGCTGAAAGACAAAGCAAAGAGGATTTGAAGGAGAAGGGCTTAGAAAGGGGCTTAGTGGAGTGAATATGGACTTTTTGTGAAGAGGGAGGAAGGAAACGTCCAGATTCAATGCTGTAATGGGGATGTTGAAAAGATAGAGGAAGAGCTGTCGTGGTTGCAGCCAAGGTCTCCAGATACTGTAAAAATAAAAACAAAAGGTAGAATATTTACCTTGCTTCATGTGAGACCTGGTATTTGAAGGAAAGAGTCGAAGGGGAAGGAAGATAATGAGCTAGACAGAAGCGTAGGGAGGCATTGGAGCCAAGGAATACTAGGCTAGGCCTACCACCGATTCTCTTTCTCTGTTTGCCGATGGTATGCAAGAGCATGAGGAAGAATGGAAAGCTTTAGAAAGATGGTGATGATTTCCTTTGCCGATTCCTATACCAGGGTACGTATGCCACGGTTTACAAGGGGAAGTCCCGGTTGACAGATGAATTGGTTGCTCTGAAAGAGATTCGATTGGAGCATGAAGAAGGAGCGCCATGTACTGCCATCCGGGAAGTCTCTCTCCTCAAGGACCTCAGGCATGCCAATATTGGTCTGTATTCCCATCTTTTCCCTTCCCATCAACAATTTAATCAATGCAACTTTTGTGCTAATGGGATCATCAATTCTGTTGCAGTCACTCTGCATGACATCGTCCACACGGAGAGATCCCTAACCTTGGTCTTCGAATACCTCGAGAAGGACCTCAAGCAGTATATGGATGATTGTGGAAATGTCCTCAGTATGAACAATGTCAAGGTAGGTGCAGTTTTACTAAGTGCGATGGAGAAAAAAAGTGCTTGGCACATTCACTGTTATCATTATTGATTGAATCATTAGCTGCTCCTTGGATCTGCCCCCTATTTATATCCATTATATTCTGGCATGACTGATTATTGAACAAATTAGTATAGCCTGATGAGATGGGGGGATATCTTTTGTAGTAGTTTGCAGGAACGTTTGACAAAAATTTCATGGTAATTCCTTTTTGGGAGTGACCTTTTTGCCAGACCACCTGGAAATACTTCTGCCACTGTCAAGAGAGTCACCTTGATGAAGTAGCCATAATTTTCACATTTCTATTTTGTTTTTGCATGGAGTCTAATAAAGAAAAGTTGAAGTAATTGGTGAGCTTCATGGAAGCTGTGGAAGGGGTTAATGACATGCTGCATTCTGTGCTTATTTTTGCTGGTGGAAAACCTCATTCATGTATAGCCTGAGAATTAAATGCCAAGAGTATAACAAGAGAAAGAGAAGCATAGGACTGAGGGAGAGAGAGCAGTAGGATAGAAAGGATGGAGAGGGAAGAGAAGGAGGGCCTTCATAAATAAATCCAGTCATCCTCTTCCCATCCCCATCCTTGTTTCTCTCTCATTCTCAGAGTGAAGATGGGTTGAGCAATGGATTACAATTAGGGGAAGCCATACCCCTCCATCTGAATAGGAGAGGGGGGGAAAAAAGCTGTAGGGATTCAGATGGATGGGGAAGTTGCATGAATAATTAATTTGTGATGGTCATGCAAGACAAGAGGAACCCCCTTAAATTCCAGATTGTGTAGGGATTAGACATTTATTTGGTAAATGGACTAATTCAAGGTATCTCCATCAAATCCTCAACCTTCAAAATTCATGTTTGTCTCCATCATAGATCTTTTTATTTCAACTCCTACGTGGCCTTGAATATTGTCATCGGCGGAGAGTCCTACATCGAGACCTCAAGCCTCAAAACTTGCTCATCAATGAACGTGGAGAGCTCAAGGTATGTCAATCAAGGCCTAATCGGCAGGTCTCTCATCATGATCAAAATGTTTGGGTTTTGAAACATGTTTTCTTGTCTTTAATCCCAGTTGGCAGATTTTGGCCTGGCTCGAGCCAAGTCCGTCCCGACCAAGACCTTCTCCAACGAAGTGGTCACATTATGGTATCGGCCTCCCGACGTCCTCCTCGGCTCCACTGAGTATTCCACCCCCATTGACATGTGGTGAGCTCTTCAAATCCTCATCCCCAAGTGATCCCATGTCTACTCAGAGAATTGAGAGAGGTTTTTTCTCATCCCAGGGGAGTGGGTTGCATCTTTTTTGAGATGGCAGCTGGGCGTCCCTTGTTCCCTGGTTCCACAGTTGAAGATGAATTGCATCTGATATTCAAGACCTTGGGCACACCCACAGGAGAAACATGGACAGGGATCTCCACACATAAAGAATTCCAGTCATATTCCTTCCCAACGTACCAGCCGGAACCTCTGATCAATAGGGCGCCGCGTCTCGATGGAGACGGATTAGACCTTCTCATCAAATTCCTCTTGTATGAAGCCAAGAAACGGATCTCAGCCTGGGATGCCATGCGACATGCCTACTTCCGCTCCCTCGGCCCCAACATCCATAAGTTACCTGACAGTGAGACCATTCAGTCCTCTTCTCTTGCTGATATTGTCTGAACTGTCTGTTGCCCAGATAAGTTTTCAAAATTTTTTACACATATGATGTCTTTCATTGATAGTTACATATATATAGATCCAAAAATAA